AAGGTCAGAGGGGATTATCTGGAAAAAAAATTGTGCGCAAAATCTGGAAAAAAGTTTTTTTCTTGTTACCTCAATAAACAGTTTTTTAATAATTGAGGCAGATTTTTGGAATTGTGTGTAGTTGATATCATTTTGTTCAACGACAGAAATGAAACAAAGTTGACGAAATCGCTTTCAAATAATAATTAATTGGTGATTGTTTGATAGAGTAATGAAAGGTTGAAATGACAAAAACTGATGATTTCAGGAAGGTGCGTCGCAATTCGAGAAGTCAGCCGCAACGTTGAAACGCAAATATTGGTGGAAGAATATTAAGATGATCATTATAATGTGTGCTATTGTAGTGGTACTCATCATCATTATTGTCATTTGGGCATCAAACAAATAACAAATTCAGTGATTATTCTTTCGTGGTGAATTTTTATTGAATTCAACCTGTGATTTGGTGTCGGAAAAGTTTGATCTTCTCTATTGATTCGTTGAAACGATCAGATGAATAAATGGAATAATTCAGTGACTGGAATGGATGGTGAAATTGAATGATGTTTCGATTTATTATTATTATTGTATTTCTTCTTCTTGATCGCATACTTTCCATACGTATGTCGATTATTGATTATTGATTGATTAAGTTATTGATGATCTGGATATTTCATCCATTCATGACTCTATTTTATGGTATCATTGTCGTTCATTTCTGTATTTACAACAGTAATAAGAATAGTGATAGTAGNTTATTATTGTATTTCTTCTTCTTGATCGCATACTTTCCATACGTATGTCGATTATTGATTATTGATTGATTAAGTTATTGATGATCCGGATATTTCATCCATTCATGACTCTATTTTATGGTATAATCATCGTTCATTTCTGTATTTACAACAGTAATAAGAATAGTGATAGTAGTATCTCTGATCATTGTGAATTTCTTGATCATTTAATAAACTGCCAGAAAAATTTCCTTCCCAAGCTCAAATGTGGACTTTGGGTTGGACTGAATTTGAATTGAAAATTAGGTCCAATAATGTTAGGTCCGGAACCCCGAATGCCTCTGGACCTTGGAATCAGTATGTTTTCGTCGCTCCTCTGAATCAGTATCGGTAATATTTCAACCACTACCGTGTAATCCACTCGTTTCGAATATTCAATTATTTGTTGAATTATTTATTTATCTATTTTTCTATTTATTGAAAGCGTAAAATATTATCTATAATATCGTGTGTATATTCGGAGTTGTAATCTATGGTGTTTTTCGACATTGTTCGTTCTTTTGTTTTAAATTTATTCATCGTTTGATTTTTAAAGAATATTCCGAACTCGTTTGCTATGTAATTCAAGTGAAATTCTGCTCTTACTTTCCCTATGTTTCGATTCTTTTCTTCAGTTTTGTCTTCTTCGTTGAATTGAGTTATCGCAATTGATCATTGAGTTATCGGTGAGATTGATGCCAGATGAAATTGGATAGCAGTGTCACATGAAATTTG